GTGTACCAGAGTTACATGTAACAGCGGAAGATCGAAGTGTGTATGTATAAATATGATATACCTGCATATATAAATTTCTATAATGTATGGAACATTATTTAATGAATATAATATCATTTTGTGTATAATAGTGAAAATTTGTACATGATATATAGTACAACGCATGATATGATAGAATTATGTTTGTCCCTCACTTATACCTCACTTTTTTTTCACTTCTACAATACTTGTAATATTATTCAATACGAGATGGAAGACGTACAGAGGTGTACACCATTTCAATAATAACCTAAGGTGAAGGATACTAATTCTATTTGAACTTCTTCGTAACTGGTTCGCGTTGCCAGACCTTGGACAAAGAGGGATTTCACGGAGATTGTAGGTATTCTCTGTACCCCTCTACTAATCTGTAACGAGATTAAATATATTGAACTCGTTTTGCACGTGGTCGGAGAGAGCATAGATTCGTTGTCATTCGTAATTTTACTAATCCATCAAACCGTCTCGTTGTAGACAGATACTCGCCTAATCTCAGAATCCGAATTAGTCATTAACAGACACGATACGGAGGAAAAAAATTATTCTATAAACCAGCCTATAATTACGCCCAGGGATCTTGCATAATCAACGAAATTGAGTTCGCCTAAGAAAAAAAAAAAAAAAAAGAGATCAGCAAGAATCAGTTCACTTTGATCAACGCTGCTCTAGGTCTCCGGATTGCTCGGGGATTACGTGCACGCAAGGGCGACGCATCAAGCGTGCCGCCGCGAGAGGACTCGCGTTCAACGCTGGTACACAAACAATTACGTCTAACGAGAGTTGGTGTTTAGTAATTTCCGCGGCTTCGTGCCCGGCTGGACGGATTCTCAATTGTTGCGGTGTGCGCCGACAGTGTCACTGTCAATGAGACTTCCCATGAAACAATCACTGAATGCGTGGCCTCCTTCCCGAATGGAAACGCAATGTCCAAATTACACGCGAGTTGCGGTGATCGCCTGTTTAAGAACGTGCCCTATCGGGTCGGTGAACTCGAGAAACTTGTCAATTTTCTTTTCAAACTGATTGTGATTGTCGTATTCGTTCGTTTTGCGGTTTGGAACAACATTTAGGTGATTATTCATTCACAAATCTATTTACAATCAGTGAAAAATTAAGGCTGAAACTCGAAACGACTAATTTATAATTTTCGGCGGGAATTTAAATATATTTGTGACAGTATATTTTTTAGACACTCGAGTGATTTTTAATATATATTAAATATATAATTTAATATGTATTAAATATAATGTAAATATATAATTTAATATATATTAAATATAATATAAATATATAATTTAATATATATTAAATATAATATATTAAGAGAAGCTTGTGTTCTTGATTGTATTATTAACTTTTTTCTTGTGTCTTGTTTTAAAGATCCCTAGGATTTAGACAGTCACTTTCAATTGGCAGTAATTTTTATTCAATTTTTGCTAATTCTTTTATCGCGTCTTTTTTTTTAACAAAATTCCTCTCTCCTTTTCCTGAAAGGGATAGAATTCCAGCGAAATTACGTTTCCAAGCTCGGCCATCTCAAAAGTGAGACTCGGATTGAAAAAATTTTGTTCCAACACTTCAACTTATTCTCTCATACGTATAACAACCTGCCACGTCCCGTACTTTATAGCTTTTTATTTATTTATTCATCTCACAAAAAGTGTATATAGTGTGCAGAGGATGATGGCGATCGTTAAACAGAAGGCTCGACAGGTATGTTTAGAGATGATTAGCGAAGCATTTCGTTGCAGGATAATAAAGATTATTCAGAATAAAAAAATGAAAAAAAAAAAAAATAGAGAGGCAAGCTTCTGACTTTGGATGTTAATACCGTTAAATCATTTTGTTTCCCGGAGGAAGAATGAGAGCGTCTGGCGTACAGTGAGAAACGGGGCAAGTTGCTCGATAAGCAAATCAGATAAAAATCCGCGGAGAATGGCTCGGAGTGGCTCGTTAAAATTTATCAAAAGGGGATAATTAAGATGCATATTTCGTTCGCACGGGCCTCGAGAGAGAGAGAGAAAGAGAGAGAGAGAGAGAGGCTTCACCGTTACGTCGTTTACGTTTACAAAACGCGTAATAGGCGAAGCACGCCGCGATGGTTAGGAGACGATGAACTGACAACGAGGACAAAGAATGTCTAGTTACGAATTCTTAATTGCGTGTGTCGATATATCAAGCAGCGATAAAGTTCTCAGCTTAAAGTTGTCATTTTAAACATACGTGAACAACACACACACACACACATATACTGCAAAAAGTTTCTCTCCTTGAAAAGGAGAACGCAGGAAATTTTCGTAGTGGTTAAATAGTTCCTACGTTTGATAATTTTACACACTTCTGGATCAACAAATCCGATTCATTCGAAAATTAATATTTACAGAATTACTTTAAAGATTTAATTACAATATTTTTAATTATATTAATTTTCAAAATCCTTATATATTAGGAGACGCAGACAATTTTAAAACAGCAAATCCTATATAACTGAGAAATGCATGACGAATCGATTGCTCTTGTCACTCCAGCAAAAGAACATGAACGATATTTCGAGTAACAGAAAAATCGAGGCAAAACTCGAGGGGAACAATAGACCTGAGCGAAAATGAAAACCGTTGGTGCCCTCTGACACGCGGAACCGTGTCTTACGCAACCGGTAGCCAGGCAAATTTCGTCAATTTCCGCAGACAACAGCCGATCCCGTTATGCGAAAGCAGAAACTCGATCTAGCGCGAGCTAGGCAGCCCTAGGTTGACGAGACTAGCGTATCGATATCAATTATTCGCGAATTTCTCGGCGATTACGGGAATAATGACTGCGCACGTCCAATGGAACTCGATTGCCCAGGCAATTGCCCGGCTATGGGAAATCCAGTTGAAAAACGAAGGCATTCAGCATTTCTGGTGGCGTACTGGTCTCTTTCTCCTTGCCAACAGTTCGACGACTCCCCTGGCGAGGATGCGCCCGGTGCCGTTACACGGAGCGCGAAACGGAGTGTTCGCGGAAACGCGCCACGAAGCGACAGTATAGTTCCTGAGTAGCCGAACAATGACCCTTTTTTTTTCTATCGTTCTTCTAGAAACGACCAAGGAAACCAGTCGCGCCGAAGCTAGAGCGTTAATTTTACTTTAATTCTCGCGCGGTTCGACATTTCGTATTTTGTTCATGTTTCACGACCATTTTTGCTCGTTCGGCTATAAAAATTGTGCTCTCGGACGAACGAGGTACAAGGAGGAGAACCAGAAAATGCGTTGACGTGATAAATGAAGTAATAATGATTAAGGAGAAGCACGCAGCGGTATTCACCGTGACATGAAGAAATAAATTACTGTTATGCAATAAAGAGGAAATTATCGCACCGATCATCGACTGTTGTAGCACCTATTACCCATCTCTTTCTCTCTCTCTCTCTCTCTCTCTCTTTTCTTCGTCACTATAGATCATCGTTATAGATGGACCAGTTTGTTCTCGCGATGATCGTTTTTCAAACCACCTTATTGACACAACGTCAACCACATTGTTCCCACCGTTAAATCGGCGAATAGCGAGTGGCTGGTGATGCATGAATAATGCAACGTGTCGACTTGTAGAATCGGTCGATTTCGACAAGCTACCCTTCTTTCGAACCTGAGATCTTCGTTTCTCGAAATGAAGCGTCGCGAGCAAATGGTTTCTTGCGAATCGCGCCCGTTCGAACGAAACGTTCCCGATTCGAAACGGTTCATACTGCTCGCCCATTCCCACCACCTGAGGCATTTTTCCCCTCGGGGAGGTTTACCTCGAATAGCACGGAATAGCGCGGATTCGAAAACACCAACGATCCTTCAGGAAGCGCGGAGGGAAAAAACTGCCAGGGGAAAAAGACGGAGGAGACGATGAAGCTAGGGGTCCGGCATGTCGCGCTCCGATTGGCCAACTGTCGAACCCGTGGGACCCGGGATTGGGCCCAACCGCCAAGGTTCCCCACCTTTGCTGGAAATTCACTTTTTACGGACGTTATTACAAAACTGACTGGCATCTCCTAGACCATGTCATTACTACTTAGTACTCCACACGGCGAGGATCCTCTCACGCGTACTCACCTCCACCACCACCACCACCACCACCACCACCACCACCACCATCACCATCACCACCATCACCACCACCATTCACCACCTCCACCACCATATCACCACCACTACCGTCACAATCGTTCGACCACCACCACCATCACCATCGCCATCGCCACCACCGCCTCCACCTTGGTATAACCTCTTCTATTTCTACCACTCGTCCTCCTCCTCCTCCTCCACCTCCCCCTCCTTCTCCTCCTCCTCATCTTCCCACCTTTCGCGGCCGTGGAAGACGAGCAGCCACGCGCGGATATCCTGGCAGAGTGTTACGGAGAACGGAGAACAGTGGCACAGAACGCACGTTGCTCCATTTTCGTGGATCGCGCTCAGGAAGCCCGTTCTCTCCACTTTATCCTTCGTCTCCGTACTGACTTTTCAGTAGAGACAACACCCTCCTGGCATATCGATCGCTCCGATTCCGTGTACAACAATACGCAAAATACAACGACAAAACAGAGAAAGAGAGAGAGAGAGAGAGAAAGAGAGAAGAAATTCCTCGAAATCTCCAAAGGATCTAAAACTCGAAACTATACGTACGTACGTTTCGTGTTCGACACATTGGGTGTTCCTCTCCTTCCGTTACAGTGGAAGTGGATCGTCCGCACGCGAGCAGACAGTGGAAACGGACCGTTCGCGGCGCGGCGCGACGCGGGCTAAGCGGAAACCGGTGGTGAACGGGTTCTTCTTACGCGGCTAACGACGGACATATCTCGTAGTTACGTATACCGCGTGTACACACACAAACACACACACACACACACACGCACACATATACGCACACGCGTGGCCAAACACGCGTGACATTACGCGCCAGCGCAAACGCTTTCGTTTTCGACGAGAGGGAAGACACACACACACACACACAGAGTGCAACTGGTGATTCGTGAGAGACCCTGTTCCAGTGAGTTTCCAGGGACTGGTTTCCTCGGCGACGAGGGCGAACGAAGGTCGTGCAGGTCCGTGGAACCGAGCGTCGCGTCATGGCTGCCACGAGGATGGACTGGAAGATTAGATTGTAAGTGATTATTTTTATTACATCGCTCTAGTTGCTTAAGGGGACGCTGGGGACGGCGAGCAGGCGCGATCAACGGTGCACGCCGCCAGCTTCGTGCATCTCCAGTCTTTTTCCTCTCTTTCTTTGCCTCTCTCTCTCTCTCTCTCTCTCTCTCTCTCTCTCTTTCGTGTCCTCGCGAGGCTGAGTTCTCTCCGAGGAAGACGTTACCTTCTTCCTGTTTCCTCTTGAGTTTTACCAACAACCAACGAATGATCCTTCTTTCAAACGTCGGCGGAGACGACGATGATCGTCGCGCTTGGTGGTGCACGTGTTGTGTAACTTTCCTCTCGCAAGGTAAACGTCCTTTCTCGTGCAGGACTGTCCATCGTCGCTCGTTTTGCGAAGGAGGGACAAGTCGCGTGTTCTTCGTATCGACGGTTTTTAATATTTTGACATTAGAACTCGACCAAAATGGTCGAAATGTCTAATTTTATATATTTATGTATTTTTAGATCACACATTAGCGTGATTTTTAATAAGATATATTAACAGAAGCTTGTGTTCCTTACCTTGTGCTATTTTCTTGTATCTTGTATCTTTAATTTCTTTGCTAAAAACATTATACTTTAGTCGTCGGTTCAGTTCTAGTGTTAATCCAGTTCCGAATCTGGCGTTTCATTACATGCCAGATTTACTCTCGGAGAACCATTAGAATTTTTCATTATTCCAGACATGTAATATAATGTATAATGTTTCAATGAAAATCTTTAATCGTTAAATGGTGCTATGACGTTCGAAATGTTTTAGTTGACGATATTCATTTTATTTCATTCATCATCGCCTCATCAAGAAAACAATCTCCGGTCACTGGTGGCCAATATGGCAGCCAACGTGTCAATTGGACATTCTGAATCTCCATTCTGAACGTGATCTAGTTTTATTTATGTTAACGAGAAATCTCGTCAACCCTTAGTTTTACAATTATAAAACGACCCTGTTGCAACCTTGACACACAGATTTATTCGTCTGTGAATGGACATTCCACACGGGACGCGAGCAGTTTTGAAATTGAAATGACAAACACGAGCATACGAAAAATGTTAATTTCGGTGCCAGAGAGAGAAAGAGAGAGAAAAGTTTAGAAAAGGAAACGACGATTAAACGACGGATTAATAACCACCGCGGCGGAAAACGCTGCAAATCGACGAGATCGATCGATTACGCCGTATGGTATCGCATTAAAGCGCTGATTGCCCGTTCATTTGCGGGAAATCAAGAATAATCGTTCGTCCCGCGTTTTCGCCCGCGATCCTCTCCACCGATATGAGAACTGTTCGATCGCCAGCGAGTGGAACCGAACGGGGAGAGGAACGGTGGAAAAATAACATAATCGATCAGAGGAGGGAATCATCGACCGTGAAACGCCGCGTATCTCGTTTATCTATTATCCGTTTCCCTTGCTTCGCCGATCTTCCAACCACTTGCGATCGCTTCACGCCGAAGTAAATAATAATCGGTGTTCCGAGATGCCCGTTCATTCTCGTTTGCTAATCCAGCCTAATCGAACGGATCGTGATTTCTGTTGGTTCTCGAACGGACGATTTCGAGCCAATTCGGTGAGGAATAATATTCTTAGAGGAGCGTGTGCGGACGTTTGTGCAAACAGTGTCGAAAAGTTTGATATCCATCTGAATAGAGATTTACTTGAAAAATATAATTAAATTATGGACTTTTATGCGATTGAAAGATTAACGTATAAAATTGTGACATTCAGTTGCTCGAGCCCAAAGGATAGGAAATGTCCTAAAAATCGATTACGTTCATTTTCATCGTTAACGAAACTTTCATTAAATTAAATTAAATGAAACGTTAAATTAAAAAGAGGATAGTGTAACATCCTTGTGAAGATGGTCATTTTCGTTATTACTTTCATTAAGGTAAGATTCGCTCAACAACATTTTCACGAATGAATTTCACCGTGCGATCCTTTCGTAACCAACGAACGACATAGTTAAGGGAGCGCTATACCATCGACTGGACTGGAGTATCAGTTAAAAAAGACTCTGGTATCTGGCTCTGAATCAATCATACGACTCGTTCGGCGATCGAATGGCAAAAAACGTCATCTTGAGCTCGCCGGTACTCGTTTTAACGATCGTATTAATAACAGCGTTAGACGAACGTTCCACTACATAGAACGTAATGTACATAAACGCCACGGTATAATATAAATCTGCCGTCGAAGGCTGGCAGGGGGATCGTGCAGCGATTGGATAATAATTAGGTAATTATTAGCGGCGAACGCGCACGAAAGGTGGCGTAATAAGTGGATCGCGGAAACCGATCGTTGGTCGGAGCCGCGTGGAAAAACGATCGGTCTAGTGGATCGTAACGTTGGCCTTGATCTCTTGATCGATCGTCGTCGATCGGTTCGTCGAGCAACCAAACGGGACATTAACCACAGCGTTGCGGAGGAAATCGAGGCAGTTCGAGGTTTGCATGCGCCGCGGCGTGAGATAGGGGAAAAGATCCAGGCGAAAGATCTACGTGCGATCGCAACGGTAGTTTAGGCGTGCGCTTGCGAGCGCGCGCCTAAATTATATCGATAGCGGCGGAACGCGTGTAAAGGAGATCGGTAATTAAAACGGGCGTGCGATACATTGCGCCGAGACGTTGAATCATTAGCATCTGAAAGTTACATTGCACGTTACACGACGAACACACGCCCGGCGATCGAGTAATTGCTGCCTTCGCTATCGCTTAATTCAGGTCGTAGGCGGCTGGATCGGAACGAGACAGAAACAATTTGAAGATGAAGTGTTAATTGTCGATCTCGACGTAACTGCTCACTTGATATGGAAAGGGTGAAGAGAAGTTGGACGAAATAGTTGGACGAAGCAGTCTGATCGAGACGCGTGCAGGAAAGCGTATTGGAAAGAGAAAGTTAGAGCCTCGTAGATTGAGATTCCTGTTGAAACTGTTGGAGTTTGACATTAGTAAAAATACCAAAATGGATTTTACTGGATTTTTAATGTATCGAGCAGTAAGAACCCTACTGTCAACTACAGGCCAAAATAATTCGACGGAGATTCGAATATTTCCAAACACTTAATACTTGTTCAAAATGACCAATTTACAATTTATGTTAGACGTAATTTTTAGGGGCAATTTTTAAATGTGTTTTTAAAAATTTACATAATTTTTTCGTAAAACATATAAATAAATAATAAATTGTACAAGTACTACAAAGTTTCTCTATCAAGTTGTCAAAATGATCAATTTATAATTTTTGTTGGGCATTTCATGGAGGTAAAAGACAATTTTTAAACGTATTTTTACAGATTTGGATAAAATATATAAATAAATATAAATTGTACACTCCGCTACAAGTACTACAAAGTTTCTCTGTTTCTTTTCTTTTTTTTTTTTTTTTGAACTTCAATGTCTCCGATGGAAATTCTATGTCCGACTTTTGAAGAACGTTAACGTTGCTTGCTAAACGCACGAGTACCACGAGACGTGACGCAAAAACACGCGGGCGCTTCTATGTCCTGTGCAACGATACAAATCTCACAAGGAGGCGGAGAAGAAAAAGGCGCGGGATGCGTGCGTGCGTGCGTATCTGAAATCGTGACGATGGTGTACATACACTCGGTATACGGCGAGCTACAGCTCGTGTAACGTAACCGACGCGTACGAGACTCGAGACGCGGAGAATCTATCGGGGGAAGAACACGAAACGACGAACGCACGCGGGTCCCGTGGTGTGTGGTTAATTTACAGCTAGTTCTACAACTCGTATCCACCTCGTATCTCGAGCGCCGTATCTTTCTATGACGTCTCTTGTCAACCGAGCGCGGGATCGTAATCCCGGAAGCTGGCTCTCGGGGCACTCTCGTGGAGATCGGGCCGCGATCAGAAATTACAATCGGGTCGGTTCTTCCGGTCGTGCGCTCGCCGCTGGCCGGCTAATTGGCCACCGTAAAAATTCCTCGCGACTCGGACGGCATCGGATCCGTTTCGATTCCAGCCGGTCGACACATCCGGCCGATCGCTCGTTCGTCAAACGGATTTACTACACGGCGAGTGCATCAATCGACGCGTTGTCATTTTCGTCGTGGCAACAATATTTTGCGCGGCGAGCAATCTTTTTACGTTTCACGAGCGTGCAAGCGAGCAGAAACGCGCGAAAATGTATTTATCATAATAATATTATTAATAGTCTAAAGCAACGGTAAAAAAATAAACAAGTAAAATTTATTTTGCACCTTCTATATCAGGGTTAATTAATTAATTTTAATAATTTTAATTATCTCGAAAGTAAATGATCTAAATATATATATATATATATATTTAAACGTCAGACGCGGAAGACGATTCTCCCAATCGGTGGAATGTAGCTTTTACGACCCGCTTCGCGATAAATATCGGCAAGTGGAGCGTGCTCCGATTCTACCACATTACCCGAGTTTTCCTACAGGTTGGAACATCAGGTGTTCCCTGTGCTCGCTGTGACGAATTATATCTTGATCAATCTCGGCGGGAGATCGAGGACGCGTAATTCAGATTCCTCGTTTAAGAGCAAACAAAACTGATTGAGCTGGTTCTGCTGCCTTCGCGATTGGTTAAGGATACAAGGTAAGAGAGCAACTTTTGCACTCTTTCTCCTTTTTTTCACCGGTGCGTCCAATTTCTATTATTAATTACATACTAGAATCAAAATTTTAAAAAATAAAATTATAATATTATATAAATAAATTTATAGTTTATCCCATAAACTTTTTATATAATGAAATTAATTAAATATTACTATTTAATTAATTATTATTATGTATAAATTAAATTTATTAAGAAAAAACTAGATGTTAATAAATACGATGAACATTTAATTTCTAAATATATATTTATTTTTTTTATTTTACAAAAATATATATATATAGATAATTAAAATTATTAAAATAAATTGATTGACCCTAATACAGACGTGCGTTGTTCTGGGACTTATAATAGATACATTAGTG